CAATAACAACCATTAATCAATTCTGTTACTTCAGTCACAAGCTAAACTTCAGCAACACTGCCCTGATTATAACTGAAGTGAATGGAATTTTAGTAAATAACTTTTAACCGTATCATGGATTGTACCTTTGCTGCAACATTAATTCAAATCCAGGCACTGCATTATATCTTCTTTCATGCTGTTATCTGTATTTATAGTTATTGCTATTAACTTGCTTGGCAGAGGTGAAAACAAGCATAATTCAGGGAAAGAGAACATTTTTGTGTTTTCACACTGGTCTGCCTTTGACACAAATCCTCCACTTCATCAAGACCTTGACTTATGTTCCACAGAAAGGAAATCAAGTACATCACTGAGTACTCCTCTGAACAGGAATGGGATGCTGAAGTGCAGTTTGTGTAATTTAACTGCTAAATTAAATCTTATGCTCTTTTTTTCCTCTTGGGAATACACATTCTTTGCCTGTTCTAGTAAAGGAGAAAATAAAAGACCGAGAGCAGCCAGAGAAGTTATTGCTGCCCTGAGAGTACAGTTCATTAAGCCAATAGTCAACAGGCACATTGTATGTTCCAGTGACTTTCTCTGAGCTAACATTATTTTTTGGGCAAGTGGACCTAACACTGAGAATATATTTTATAGCATCTGTAGTATGAAGTAAACTAGATTTTACTCACTTTGCTTGAACATCGCTGATGAATATTCACTGGGTATAAAGCCAGAAGACAAAAGGAACCTGTTGTTAGTCTGGGAATGGTACATACTGAAAATCAACAAGTATTTTTTCCAGGACTTGTGTATAATGTACACCAATAGTCAGCAAAGATACAGGCCTTTGTTCATACATCTCCTTATCTGAAAAAAAAAATCATACTATAAAACATACTAAAAGCTATTTTCTCCATTTCTTTCTTCAGAGATTTCCTGAACCACCTTTGGAGCAGAAGCTGGTAGATCCAGCACCCCCATTTGCACCGAAAAATTCCTCTGTGAGGAATTTAGTATCTCCTCGTAGTTTAAGGAGAATTCAGGCATATTTCTTTTGTCTAAATGCATTGTGGAAACTACCCTCATTCTTTGTCAAGAACCAAATAAGCTCCTTCAATTAAAAGAAATGTTACCATCAAGTCCATTCTTATTTTATTTCCTAAACGCTGTTCTTTATAAGTGGTAAATGCATGTAGGAGACCAGAGGAATGGTTGAGTGGCTCAAAACAACCACGTGGGAAGTGTGTGGGGGAACAGGGTGAGTTCTGCGTAGATGGGACAGCCACTCCTCCATCCCCATTCCCTTGAGCCTTTGTCAGCCTCTGGTCCACACTGGAATGGCAGCGGCCAACCCCATGACCTGTCACAAAATGGCGGAGTGACCCCATGGCCTGTCACAAAATGGTGGAGTGACCCCATAGCCTGCCCCAAAATGGTGGACTGACCCTGGCCGGCCCCAAAATGGTGGCGTGACCCTGGCCGTCCCCAAAATGGTGGAGTGAGCCCATGTCCTGTCACAAAATGGCGGAGTGACCCATGGCCGTCCCCAAATGGTAGACTGATTAATGGCCTGCCCCAAAATGGCGGCGTGAGCCCATGACCTGTCACAAAATGGCGGAGTGACCCATGGTCGTCCCCAAAATGGCGGACTGACCCATGGCCGTCCCCAAAATGGCAGAGTGACTCTGACAGTTCCCAAAATGGCGGACTGATTAATGGCCTGTCCCAAAAGGGCAGAGTGACCCCATAGCCTGCCCCAAAATGGCGGAGTGACCCTGGCCGCCCCCAGAATGGCAGAGTGAGCCCATGCCCTGTCACAAAATGGTGGAGTGACCCACGGCTGGCCCCAAAATGGCGGACTGACCCTGGTCAGCCCCAAAATGGCGGAGTGACCCATGGCCTGTCCCAAGATGGCGAAGTGACCCATGGCCTGCCCCAAGATGGCAGACTGATCCATGGTCTGCCCCAAGATGGCGTAGTGACCCTGGCCGGCCCCAAAATGGCGGACTGAACCATGCCCTGTCACAAAATGGTGGCCTGAGCCCATGGTCGACCCCAAAATGGCGGAGTGAGCCCAAGGTCTGTCACAAAATGGCAGAGTGAGCCCAAGAATGACCCTAAATGGCGGCCTGATCCATGGCCTGCCCCAAAATGGCATATATAAAAATATATCGTAAGCCAGAGTAAAAATTTCCAGTCAGGGCTTTAGTGCGTGCCTTGCTGCATCTGGATAAGTTAAAGTTTGCCAAGTTAAAGTTTGTGAAGTGTAAAGTTGTGAAGTTTGTGAACACTTTGTGCGGACTTTGTTTTAAAATTTGCCAAGCGCCTTATTCTACCTTAACGTTCTGAAGTTTGCATGTAAAAGTTTGGTATTGAGCCCCCTGAAACTTTGTGGTTTCTCCTACCCAGTGTGACTCAACCAACCCTCCCCGAAACCCCCTGGGGCAGCGCAGTGCGGGTGGCTGGGTAAGAGTGTCAGTGGTCGTTGCTGAACGTGTAGCACATGAAACAGAGAGAAAGAAAAAGCAGCTTGTTCTGTGCAGTGTGACCACAAAAAACCCCAGGTTTCAATGTTGTCTAGACAGTACCATGGATAACCCATCATGTAGAATCCTGCACGGATAGAAACGTGAGTCCCCTGCCACTGGCTTGAAATCCAATCAGTGCCCATTGCTTCCAGTGGGGAACAGAAAATTGCTAGATTTAAAGGCCTAATTCTCTTTCTAAAAATCCTCATGTCCCCAGCAAGTATAAGAGCCTTTGGGATGTCTCAGACTCTAATAATTCCATCAGTTAGGCCAACTCATATTCCATGACTGAGCTGCACAACCACATGGACATTCCCTCATATCTCACAGCATGACCCTCACAAAACCTGCCAGTTCTGATTTACTCACTGCTCCTGGCACTGCTTTCCGCTGGTCTTTAGTCAGGAGAGTGCTTTGCCTCCAACTTCATGTCAAACTAAATAATAACAACCACACACCACCACCAACAATAATAATAATAGTAGTAGTAATAACAATAACAATAAAGTTGTTGATAACAAAATTTAAGAAGTAGTTGATGATGATAAAATTATCTTACCATTAGAAAATTAATTCAGAAGAGCTTTAAAACAAAATTGAGAAAATCTGATAAAAAACAAGGAAGAAATATTGTCTCCCTGCTCAGGCTGATCCTCCCGAAGGTGTGGCTTGTCACTAAGACAGGATCAGAGTTACTACTTGACCATGCCCAGAGGGCATGTGGAGAAGGCTTGACACAACTTCAAAATCATCAGTAAATCGTCTCCACTTTGCTCCCACCTCCAGTCTTTTTTGAGATCTCTTTTCCAGTGATTACCTATCCAACCTTCCCTGAGGTTGGGCACGTAACACATCTGCAGCCATAAATAACCCGAGGAATCCTGCCGTGAGAGTGGATGAGCTACTTACAGCTCTGTCAACAAAAAGCCAGGTTTGAGAGCTGCACAGCATCACCAAAAACTGGAAACCTCTGCATTGATGCAGTGAAAAAAAAACAAGAGCAGACACGACATCTTTTACATCAGGAGCTTTTCAGCAAAATATTCAGGAAAGCTTCCAAGTCGTGGGTATTTTCTTATATTTCTTATTTTCTTACCCACTCTGAACCCAACTTTTGCCCTATACTGCCTCAAAGTATCAAATTCAAGGGGAATTTGAGTACTCCTCTTATGTACTCGACAAACACTTACTCTTGTGCCACATTTATTTAACACACAGAGAACCGGCCCACTGTTCTGCCTTGCACCAGTTACTTTCAAGGACTCCCATTTTGCCTGAGAGAGAACAGATATGAATAATTACAGAATAAAATACTGTCAGAGAATAATGCTCTCTGGTTGCTTTGGTCCAATAAAAGCCAAAGCCACCATAAAACTTTCACGGGAAAGGGCAATAATTGATTCTATGAGGGTGACACTTTATCACACTGCCTTGTTGCTATCATGCCAAAATAAATTAAAACATCTCAGTCCACCTCTATATATAGCTTAGCTTACACACCTAATTCTGGTCTTTTTAAAATGACCTTGGAAAATGAAGCACATTTTCTCACAGGCATGAATTTTATACATCACATTTTCCAGTATAATATCTCAAGACATTATTCTCATTTCTTTTAAGGGACATCACTGGCACATAAAAAAAAAAAAAAAAGAAAAGAAAAAGTGAGAAATTAGAGAATATCTGAGTTCCTGATTACTCACTGAATAGTAAGTTAATTCATCTTCTGGAGGGCCACACAGTATGAAAAAGAAGTGACAATATTAACCGCTTAGGCAGATAGACATCATCCCTTTACAATAATTATTTATATGTAACTACTCAAGAAGTCCATTTCTGTGTTCTCCCCAGTATATTCATTACAGAAGTAACTCCAAAATCTGACTGACTTGTTTCCATGTTTCTGTTAATGACAGCTTTATGCTGCTTTATAGCTGAAAATATGCCATTTGCTGGGGTTTGGCAGCACATACCTGCAGTTAGTTCCCTTTTAAGAAGGTCAGGAGGTGTCGGAGCGTTGGACATCATTCAGATTTCTGCCTGCACTGGTTTTAGGAATGTTTCAACTGTAATCCATCAACATAAATGTGATTTCTGAGTCAAGTGAGACATCGTTGAAAAGCAGGCTTATTTGAAATTCTACCAAAATATGTTACAGCTATGCAACAAATGAACCATCAATTTTACTTAACATAATTCATCTTGAAACTCATATGTGTGTATGTATTGTATCAATTACCCCAGATCTCCAGGAATGTGCAGCCAGTCTGTGCATCCATCATCTGTGCAGACACCTTGGAAAAGGGTAAAGTTTGAAGCATGTCTCAAATGATAAACATACTGGAGGAAGAAATTCTGTTTCAGAAGCAGAATGTCATAAAACATTCCTACACCAAAAATAATAGTAATAAAAAAATCTCACCCGAGTTTGTTTAAAATAAATTAGGCCAGAATTGCCATCTTGGATGCAAAAAAGAGGCAGACTACTTTTATGAATGCCATAAAAATAAACTATTTTAATAGGTACATAAATAAAAGGTTTAAAGTAGAATTTTCCCCCCGAACAGCAAGATGGCCTAGCTTCTGTACAGCAACTGAACAGTATTCACATGACTCCTAAATTAAATAAACCCTTTGTTACATTCAAAACCACTGGAGGCAAATACACAATGCAATGACGCACCTGAATCGTTCTCCTTCCTCATCCTAGCAGTGTATACAGTATTTCCTTGGTTTACAGTACTCTGAGGATATGGATCTGTTAAATAAAACTCTGAATGACAGGCTGGAAATCAAAGTAAAAAAGCAAAGTTAAAACCCCCCAAAGAACCCTGGCACCCAAAGGGGTACTTTGCATCAGCCAGGAAGTTTTAACGGGAGAGGAATAAGGATCGTGCTGTAAAATAAATTATGTCTTTTATATATTGTTGCATAGTTATGTTAAAGTGTTTAAATAGTACATTCACTCTGGCGATGTGTTTTTGTCTATGCCTACAATAAATTATATGTGGGGTGTGCTAGCTGGTCATGTGTTTTACTGCAAATGGGGGGAGCTTAGCACATCTAGGAAATGTTAAAAATGTTTCAGATTTATTTAAGACAGACAAAATCTAATTCAAAGCAGCTTTCCTCCTATCATGCCCCCCCTTCCCAGCACCTCTAAGAAGTTACCCTGATGGCTTCGTATTTTTGCTGTGTTGTATCAAAAACATCATAGGTTGCTGACTAACACTTACTGACCCACAGAGGTTTTGGTTTTCCTTTCTCTTTCTGAATCATCTTTCCTTTAGAGAACATCTGCCATTAACATCTCCATCCTCTCCAAAGATTCCTACTAATTAAGGAAAGGAAGCACCATTTGTCCATCAAAGCAGAGTTTCCTGAAATGAGGTGTTATCGCTGCTGTTGTCTGGAATGTGGCAGTGATGGGTGAGGACCATTCATCCTGTGGAGGAGAAAGTCTGTCACGTGGACTCTCAGGGTGTTGAGATACCTTGTGCTGGTGAAATCAGAGCAAAAAATTCAAAGATGACAACTTTCATCCATAGTGCAGAACTGGCATTTCTAGTCTGTTCGTCAGAAGTTCAAGACAGTTGGTCCAAGCCGACTCAGGCTCGGCCAAAGAGGTTGCTCAGAGTCTACCCACCGGCAAGACGTGACCGGCAAGGGAACGACTGCCCCTTTTTCCTGTTTGCTTTTTTCTTGTTCTTGTTCTTCTTCTGCTTATTCGCACCTTTGCTTTTATCCGACTTCTTTTTCTTTTCGTCCTCCTTAAACCACGGCCCCCACACTCCTCCGTTCAGCTTGGGGTTACTCCGAGGGTCCTTCGGTGGGTACCGGACGGGAACCGCGGTCTTATTGAACTGCGAGAGCCTCCGCAAGAGCTGCTTCACCACGTCCGGGTACCTGGCGGAGAGGTCCACCCGCTCGTAGGGGTCGGCGGTGATGTTGAAGAGCCACACGGTTTTCCCGGCGGACCAGGAGATGCGCTCGTTGTGCCAGCGGTTGGGGCCCGCGTTGCTGAAGGCCTGCGGGGGCACCCAGTCGCTGTAGCCCGGGTTTCCCGTCAGTAGTTTCCAGTGGTTCACTCTGATGGCGGATTGGATGGCGGTGTTCCAGATGCCATAGCCCGCGGCCCAGGAGCCGTTTTTGGCTTTGGTGTAAATGGGGTCGATGTTGTGCAGGATATCCACCCGCGGAGAGCGCCTGCCTTCGCTGATGGTTTCCCAGATGTCGTAGCCGTCCAGCTGGATGTCTTCATCGATCTGCCCTTCCGCCAGCGTGATCAAGGTGGGGAACCAGTCCGTGATGTGCACCAGCTCCTTACACACAGACCCTTTGTTTTTCAGAAGGGGGCTATGGACAAACCCAACGGCGCGGATGCCTCCTTCCCAATAGGTCCCTTTGCTCCCTCGGAGAGGCCAGTTGCTTCCTCCGGCCATTGGCTGCCCACCGTTATCCGAGGAATAGATGATAATGCTATTCTCATAGTACCCATACTTCTTTAGAGCGAGGGTCACGTTGTCGATGGCTTCGTCCAGGCAGGCCAGCATCGCCGCGTACCTCCGCCTGTTGATGTTATTGATCGACCGGTAATGTTCAAAATACCTGCCCGGCGCCTGAAGGGGCGAGTGGACGGCTTGGTAAGCGATGTACAGGAAGATGGGCTTCCCGGGGTCGTGAGAAGCCAGGATTTGCTGCACCTTCTGCGTGTACATCTGCGTGGAGTAGATGCCGGTGTCGTGGTCCCAGGCGGCGTTGTCGTTCTCGTACAGGTCGTAGCCGCAGATGCCCGGGCTGTCGCATTTGAAGTGCGTGTAATAGTCGCCGCTGCCCAGCAGGGAGCCGAAGAAGGAGTCGAAGCCCCTCTGCGTGGGCATGCACTCCCGGCGGTAAAAGCCCAGGTGCCACTTGCCCACCATGTGCGTCGAGTACCCAACCTCCTTCAGCTTCTGAGGTAGCGTGACGTTATCCAGAGGTAAGCAGTTGGGCTGGGTCGGCCGGATGATGGAGTGCTGGAGGCCCGTGTGGATCTGGTACCTGGAGGCGGGAGGAGACAGGCATCAGATGGGGCAGTGGAGGAAAGGCTCAGCTGTGTGGACACCCACGTGCACAAATGTAACAGAAGATACTCCTGTGCATGCAGCAACCTTCTCTGGGAATATTTCAGAGCTTGTACATCAAATACGGGAGCACAGGTATTTACAGGCAGCCTGTTTTCCTCCACAGAAAGCTTTCACATGTCTCCATTTAGCAATGATTATAGAAAATGATGTGGATAAATACAGTTTTTACAATGCCTCGTAACTTGCCAGCGGTAAACACATCTACAGCATATAAAAATGCTGGACTTTGAGCATGTAAGAGCAGTGTAGTTAAAGGATGGGATAATAAATTCTGCAGTGTAGCACAGTCTATGTGTAAAGAATACATATGGCCTCCATATGATTAGAAAACGAACCCGGCATGGGCAGCAATAAGTATCAAAAATCAAGGACAAATATGTTTCTATCACTTCAACGCTAAAAAATAGAATGGAATAGCAGATTGTAAACCAAAGGCAGCTTCTCCCTGAGTGTGAAAATAGATTGAATTCTCAGGCACAAACAGAACAGCCAGGTCCACCAATACTGCGAATCTTCCCCCAAACCGCTTTGAATTCATTCCTGGTAGCAGGAGTTGGGACTTCCTGACACTTTCTGCTGGAGTTGCCAATCTGATTGGCCTCCTGAGCTATCTAGAAAATTAAAAACATTAGGCTCTGCCTGTCCATAAATAACTTAAATCCTGCTTTTATACGATGGCTTCCTGGCCAAGATCTTAGAAGGCGCCATAGCTGTCTTTAGTGCCTGGCAATCTGCAGGAATTGTGTAACTCCCACTTAATTCTTGAACTAATTTCCACGGAACCAGAAGCTCTGGCCTAACTAATTCATTGCAGAAGCTTTGGGTGTCGCACTGGACTAAACATGCTGCAGAGCTGCCGCTTTGCTTCGCCTCCCTGGCCCCTTTTCAGAGCATTGTCTCTGGGAACAGTTTGGGGACCTGGAGCCCAGCCACCCAATTGTCCCCAAACTCACAGCTGGTGCCGACACAGGAGATACTGCACTGGAGTTAAAGCACACTCTCAGAATGATGGGTTTCTGGCACCTACACGTGGCTTTTAAGAAAGAAATATCACGCACACACAAATACCCACATCCTTCCCGTGATTCTGCTGCAACATTCTCCTCTCAAAAACAGGTAAACTCCCATCAGGAAACCATGCAGTTCAGTTCATTCCATCTTTGAGAGTCCTCAGGGAACTTTGTCCACAAGGCATTTCATTTCCTTCCCCTTTTCTTTCTTCTGCCTTAATAAATCCTTTCAGTAAATTCCCATTTTTTGATCCAGCTGGAAAAGTCCTTGCCCCCACCCTGCTATTTTAGTAAGGAGCTTCTGCTTTCTCAACACTAACATTGTCCCCAGTCTCAAGATCAGCCCCTAATTCCAGTGGGGCACTTTCTCCCCTGATAAGCTAATTTTGCTGGAAGTCAGGATTTTCTCTAAGGGGATGCTGTAGTGACACTTCTCCTCTACACAGAAGCTGAGCCTGGGGGGAACAAGGCAACAGAATTTGTGACACGTTGCAAACCAATTTGTCTCTTGACAACGCCTACCCAGAAATCAGGATAGTCACACAAAGTTAATTCCCATAAAGAATTCCTAAAGCACCACGCAGATTCCCCAGTGAAGGCCTTTTCAGCTAGAGATCCAAGCATGAAATTCCTACACTGTTAATCTGGGAAATTTTCAACCAAAAAACATCAAGAGTTAGCCTCAGTCACACAGGCATTCACAGCACTGCATCTTGATTCAGTGGTGCGCTCAGTTATTCAATCTGCTGGCAACAATGCACATATAACATATAAATATAAATATAAATGCACGTATATTCTCTGCTGCTGCCTTCTTGCATGAGACTTTGGTGTGTTTGCCATATGTGTGTGTGCCTGTGTGCTATTTCTGGCACAGCTGTGCTTCTGAATATACCTATAGGCACACAGACAAATAGACAAGCAAATTTTTATGCTCATACGTGCAAAAAGGGATCTGCAAACCAATCAGTTTTAAGTCAAAAGATTTCAAGGGTAGAAATGCTTCAAAGAAATATCAACCTGATTATCAGAATGTTTTTCACTGCTGCAAAAATGGCTAGGACTTGTTCACTTTCTGTGCCACATGCCTTCCTAATTGATCCATTATGTGCCAATATTACTTTTTCAGTGAAAGTATTTCATTTTCAAAGGACTTGCAGAGCACTCATGGGAAAGCAAAGTAATCTGAGCAAACGACAGTGATGATATGGAAGCAAATGGCATTAATAGCAACAGGAAAAGCGTCTCAACACGACTATTTTGGAACTGTATTTAGACTCTGCACGAGGAAAAAAACTGAACAAGGCAAAACATAAAGGGAATAAGAGGCAGATGCTGATTTTGGGGGAGTTTTCTGGAAGATAAAGTCACAACCTCCCAACTGCCATAAAATGTCTGTGAGATACATCCTATGGATTTCATCACTTTCTACCACAAGTTCAGCTGATCCTTTAAAATAAATCTGTTGAATTTAATCCCAAATGCAAAAAGCAAGTTAGGGCTCTGAATAGCCTGGAATTCATTATTACAATTTCAACACTAGCAACCAGTCCAATGTAAGTAAAATGCTGACAGGCCAGAGGATCTAATTTCATTGGTTTTTAGACTTCAATCTTTGTGGGCACTATTTACACACAGGTAATAAAGTGACAATAGTCTGTATAAAGAGCAGGGGTTCAAGACTTGGGAGTACTTGATAAGCACGTGCCATGCTCTCCTTTTCCCTGCCCCTCTGCAAAACGTCCAGCTAATGCGATGCACATTTAAAATTAATTTCTCCTCGCTACGTGGGGATGTCTCAGTGCAGTTTCCACTCCTGTTTTCATTTTGCTGGTGTGGTTGCTCAGATGTTTGCAGTAAAAGCCCTGCCAGGGCAGCTGCTGGGCGCTGGCTGACGGACACACCGCGCTGTTTACTTGTTTGTAGTGGAGACTTGAAAGCAGCAGCCTCCCAGAGGGAGCATCCTGATGACTTCATAGGCCCTCTGCCTCTTGGATGCCAAGAGGAATGTTTCAGAGGTTTCTTAAAATAAATAAATAAGCAAATAAATCCTCCATCCCAAGTGTGAGCTCATGATACCCCTTTCCAACAGGAGTTTCCTGGTGAGTGTTCTCCCCCTTAACTTCAGGGTGGGTTCTGCACTGAGGAAGAAGCTGGGATGTTTTTAATTCTGTAATGTGCATGTACAACACTACTGATTTCAAGCTTTCACAATGTTCAAATACTGCATTAATTGTCTTCAAACTGAGATTCTTCTAAGGCTCACTGAAGATTAACAAAGAAGCTCAGTTGGAAGTTTCTAATTTCAATAGCTTTTGCTAGCACTGCTCTAGCTAGGGCATATGGAAAATGTATTTTTCTTATGCTTGCACAGCTCAGGATATGTTAAAAAAAAACCCCTCAGTGTTTAAAATAATAAACTCCAGCCCAGGATTCAGAAAAGAATATTTTAAATTAAAAAATGCTCACTCTTTTTCACCTCAAAGCTGCTTTGAGCTCTGCAAGGTTCTTGTGAGGGAAGCAGAAGCTGCTGAGGGGTTCTTCTGCTTTCAGCCTTCCAACCAGGCTGCTGAAGAGCAGGGCAGAGGGATGCAAAACTCCTGATCATGGACACATTGGACATGGATTGACATGAAAGGATCACATGAAAATCATTCTCCATTAGAAATATTTGCCATAAAACCTAAATGTTTTACATGGAATATGCTGAGGATTTTAAAACTAAAACAAGAACAAGGATGAAAAAGAGACTTAGAATCAAAGAATTCTAAGAATTCTAATTTTAGATTTCAAGAGGAAAATCTCCTGGGTGAATCCAAACATGTCCCTTGGAACATTTCCTCTGCTCAAGTCTTCTGTCAATGTTCAATGTATGCCAGAGAAACACACTTCTCTATATTTAATCTATCATTTAACTGTTTTTATCTTCCGGCTTGTAACTCTAAGATTTTGGGGAGAAGGAGGATTACAAGTGTAGATGGATCAGACAAGCAAATGCAACATTAAAGATCAAATGCAAACTCCAAACTTTCACAGACATTCACTGTGTTGTCCCACGTAAATCAAACCTAAGGTGCTCACTCAGACATACACACACATTCATTTCATCCTCAGCTGTATTCCTTGAATTTTTATGGGCTTATAAATCAGCATGGAAAAATATCTACTTCTAAACGGAGTATTTACAGAAAAACTCTAACTCAGGTTATTCACTGTTTTATCACTCTGGCAGTGCTATTGCAAACATGTCATTTGGAAGGTTCTGTATCTTGCCCTATTTTCAGGGTTTTGGATGGTGGTTACTCTCCCTGGCTCCAAGGGGTGTTCAGTGTCAGGAAAGAGAAAAACCATAAAACGAAACTCAAGCAGAAGTTTCAAGTTTGAATAACCCCACAAATTAAGCTGCAATTAATATTGTGATACACTAACTCTGATTTTCTACAAAACATTACTAAACTGGCAGCTTATCTGCTACCAACCTTTCCTGTCACTGAGGCAACTTACCTGCTGGCATGGGAGGACTGAAAGGATAATAAGGAGGACGTGGGAGCCGGCAGCAGCTGGAATGCACATGTGGATGTGCAGCTATTGTTTTCCCTGCTCCCGGCTCTCTGCAGCTGTGGAAACAGAGCACAGCTTCCAGCTTTATCACTGGGTGTTGTTACTCATTAAGAAAAAGAGGGGGGGATTGTGTGTCATTGCATAATTGGCGTGGCGGTTTCATGTCTGCATGTGAGGGACACGCAGAGGAAACAACGTGACAAAACGCTTCTCGTGCCGACCGCAAAGCCAGACCTCGCCACCGAATTCTGGGCTCTCTGCAGCGACAGATCCCGTGGGATACCACACCTCATCACCACAAGGGAAAGAAGTGCACTGTCCCTGAAGTTAAGGAAGAGCTGCC